TGGGTTTGAGGAGGTGGGACTTGAAGGTGTCTATGGCCACTTTTTAGTGAAAATCCCAGTTAAGGGGGGGCTCTTTTTTAGCCTTGGGTTGTTTTTAAACAATTACCCACATATATTACATTTTTTCTTATATTGTGGCTGGGACTTGTAAGGTGCCGCCTTGGTTTTAGAGGGGAGCATGTGTTGTGTGTGGATTGTAGTAAAAAAAAAAAAAATACCAAAGTTCGCGGAACCAGATTTCAGGGGTTGGGGGTTTTCAGTTGGATTTTAAATTGGGGGGAATAATTTGACCTTTTTAATTTCCCACGCCACATTTTTATACAGGGGGGAAGGTTGTTGGATAATACCCGGGGGCGTGGAATCAAATGGAAAGAGGAGTATTGAAAAATACCTATTTAACCCTTGATTAATCAAACACAAAGGGGGACATTACGATTGTTGATTTGGTTTTCCGGGAAAATTGATTTGGTTGTTCTTTTTTTAAAAAAGGGGTTTACAAAAACTGGGGGTTGGTGCTTCCTTTCGGAGACATTTGAACAACAAAATTATTTTCAAAAAAAACTGCTAAATTGAATGTTTGTTTTTTTTCCAATCCCACATATCAATGATGGGAAGCATTTGCATAACCTTTATCCTCGTTAAGGGGTTTAGGTTAATGTCTTATAGCAAATACAAAACCAAAAAGGGGTTGAGGGGCACACCTAAAAACTCGTTTTCCATATGGCTTTATAAATTTATTTAATTGTATCCAGGTTCCCACTTTTAGCTAATTAAAACAATATCTTTTAAAAACACGTTGGAAATTTGGGAACAAATTAAATGGAAATCTTTAAAATTGATTTCAACCATTATAATCCCCAGTATTTTTTCCCCGGGTGGGAAGTCATTACCTTTCAAGGGTACTGTAACTTAAGTGACCAACTTTTTTGGAACGGGGGTTCATTTGTACCTTTACTTGGGAGTAATATGGTCCCCAATGTTTATTTGCTTTCTGGTGTAACTTCTAACTCCACTACCAGTCAGGGAGTAACTGGGGTGTGTGCTTTTTTTAAAATGTGGAATGGACATTTTAGTGTTAAACAACTCCTTGATTATTTCGCTCCTGGTAGCTTTAAGGGGGGGGGCATAACTTCCACTTATTTATATCTACAGGTGACTTCCTGTTTAACATTCCTTTTGATTGTTTTTGCCCCCATGGTGTTTCCTTTAAGCACCTTATTTGGATTTCCCCCATCCAGTTAAACGGATGGCTTTTTAAATTTTTTCTTTCTTGTTGGGAAACTTCAAAATTGTACCATTGTAAAAACAATTTTTCTGAACCTAATCCGGGACTTCTAGGACGGGGGGCTAACAAAGCTGTTTCACCGAATGGGGGTCATGTGTTTTTTTTCCTGGGAATTGAATACTTTTTAAACCCCGGAATTTTTAAACTTTTTTAAAAGGTTAAGTAACTTACTCTTGCCTTGGATGAAGGGTTCATTTCTTGGCTGGCTTGTTTCGTTCTACCCCCCTGATTTCCTCAGGGCCTCTGGCATTAAAAAACCAGGGAGTTACCATATACCTGTATTTAGCCCACTAAACCCAGGGAGAATTTAATAACATTTTTGTGTTTTTAATTTGTTAACCCTTTGGCTGGGGGGGGGGCCCATTTTCATTTCGTGGGACAACAACACATCCCATCCCCATAAGCTCAAAGGGAGAGGATGGGTGCCCCCAATTCCAGTTATATACCACCACTGTTGCACTTTTGGGGGAACACTAGGACGATATCTTGTGTGCTTTTTCGTGGCCATTTTTCTTTTTAAAAATTTGCTGCTTTAAAAAAAACGGGTAAAGCTATATTATTTAAATTAAATTCCAGGGGCTTTCTATTGGGCCAACAACTTTGGTTTTACCTGGGCTGAGGTGGGGAAGGTGATTTTGATGTCCCTTTGGGGCTTTTTAAACCTAAACATATGGCGCACACTTATGGACAGGCCTATCGTTTTGTCGTTATCGGGGGAACCCTTGGGTGGCATATCTAATGGTATTATTAAATCATTTTACTGTAATTGGAAACCCCCACCGGCTTATTAAACGGGGGGGCCACGTTTTCCATCTTAATGAAGGGTTCCGTCCCCCAACCAAAAAATGGTTTTGGTTTTTCCCCCTTTGTTATTGTGGTGGCAATAGGGTCCTGGGTCCCGAATTTATGCAATAATTGGAACCTTCTATCGTTACCGGTAATAATGAACTCGAATACTTTTTCCTGACCCTCGTACTTCCATCATTGAGGGTGTTGACTGGGCAAGTTTGAAAAGGGATTGTAACTTGGATTTTTTTATTCTGTTATCATGTGTGTCGCAGTGGGTCTCAAAATGGTCATACCAAACGTTGCCGGACAAATTAGGGACTTTTAAATGCAACTTTTGCCCACCACTACCCGGGCTGTTTGTACCGGAGGGGGGACCGCCGAGGGGATCGGGGCTTTGCTAATATCTTGACATCTGGGAGGGTTGTGGGAGGCCCTCCGTTGATATTTTTGTCGTTGTAAATGGCGTTGATGGAACAGCTCGTGTTGTCGGGGAGGGTTGGCACAGGCTGATTGCAGACAGTGAGGGGGGTGGAGCCGGGAGCCGGAGTGACAGCCCACGGCACACACAACACCAGGGACAGGGGGGGAACAAACAAAACCATTTTCATTGTGAGTTATAATTTCACCATCTCCAGGTTATCATTTAGGGGATAAAATGGACAGCGGGCACGTGTTCAATATATTTGTAACTTTCGGTTTAAATGATACAATGTTGTTTACATTGCTCATGGGACAGACCACCTTATTTGCAGATTCTTGAAATTGTAATTTAATTTGTAATTGATTGTGGATTTTGTATCCAGTTTTCACTTTATGTATCTTTATACAATGTTTACTACTTTGCTTATGAGGACAGACCACCTTATTTGCAGATTCTTCAAATTCAATTGTAATTTCATTTGTAAATAGTTACAATCATGTGGATTTATCCAGTTTGCACATTTGTTGTTGTTGAAGGCCTGGCTGTTAGAGTCTTTATTTACACTATTTTGTTGTAGGCCTACTGGCCTAGGTGTTTATTTTAAAGCACCTTGGCTTTGTTCTGAATGCACTTTGTTTTAGTTATCCTGCAGAGAAAATAAAATGCACTTGACTTGGAATTAATGTACTGTATGCATTCAAAAGTGCTGAATAAATGTTTTATGGACCCATACTAGTGATTATTATTTAAGTTAAGTTTTGCCATAATCAGGTAGCTGAACAACATTAGTAAAAAATGTATACATTATATAAATATATATTTCTATTAATCATTTTCGGCCTTTGGTTTTCGGCCAACTGTTTCCTATTTTCGGTATCGGTTTCGGCCAAAAATTTCCCATTCGGTGCACCCCTAATACTTGCATTACGGAAATTATTGTCAGTTATAGCTGGAAGGGACAAAACAATGAGATAAATGTCAAATAAATCCTAAAAAGTCTTACATTTCATTTGGTGCATAATCCTCATGGCTAAGGGAAGTGTTTCACATGCAGCTCAGAACCCTGTACTACTACAGAAATAACATATAAAAAAGAGGCTTTAAAACATGGTAAAATGGGTTTTTCTCTTAATATGATCTCTAAATCAGCTTCAAACTATTGAGATTTATCTTGACACCATGGCAGACTCCTCCTTAGATTTATGTCTTAATAGTAAAGAGGTGATCATGTGCTGAATCCATAGGTTCTACATTTCTAAATAAATAACACACAATGTGTTTCTGCTTCACAAACTGCAGAAGAGAACAAATATCTGTTAGTGATGTGTTATGGAATGTCAGTTACATTGCATGTGTGAACAAGCTGAGTAAAAGGTTAAACAAATATAGGCAATGTTAATTTCCCTCTGTTACTAGAGCTGCCACTGAGAATCTTGTATAATACTAAGCATTGTGATGAGATGTTGTAATAAGTGTTATTCATCCGTGTGTTTGAAGATATATTTGAGTGACTCTTTACACATATGTCATACAGAACACACAATCTTTTGTAAAAAGCTACAATCTGACCACACTTCTGTCAATGGTTCTCAAGACTCTCATCCCCTTTGCGCTTTCTGCTGTGTTTAGAAGATGCTGATAAAACTAAGAGGGCATAAAGAAAAATGACCTGAAAAGTTATTATTGTGGAGTTTAGATTTTTGTTATTCAATGTATTGTCTTCATCCCTGTGCCGTTAACTGATAAAATAAAGATATTTGACCATGATTTACAAAGAAAATAACCTTTTTCTTCTTCCGCTTACCATTCACCACAAGAAGATGGAGACGTCAAGGGTCGCTCTCCTTCTTTACTGTCACGTCTCCGTCTCCGGCCAGGATGGTGGAGATCTCTCCCTGCATGAAGGCCCAAGGCACCGAGGAACCAGCCAGGGGACAGCGCTCTCCGCTGGGGCAGTACACCTCCCCACCCTGACCCTGGCTGCGGATAAATCCTCTGGTACAGGGGAAGCAGAACTTGTGGTGCGGGACAGACGGACACTGGACGAAGTGAGTGTCCTCCAGGCGCTCTCTGCAGAGGGTGCAGCACAGCAGGGTGCCCTGAGAGCTGCTCGTAGACTCACCAGCACTGGCGTTGGTGCTCGGCCCCCCCGCACTCAAACCCTGACCCAAGGCTGCCTGGGAGACGGAGGTGGAGGAAGTGGATGGGCTGCTGCTGGTGGGGCGCCCAGCTGAGGAGGAATGGGCTGTGGACATGCTGGGGCTATCTCTGGCCATCTGACTGGAGCTCAGGCTGTCTGCGACTCCCATGAGCGCTGAGATGGGTGAGGGCTGGCTGTGTAGACGGGGTGGACCCTCCTGAGGGGCAGCCATGCCAGGAAGAGGCTCCATGCCTGAGTAAGCACCTCGTGGCCAGGGCTCTCTCGCCGGGTGATCAGGCCTGCCTTCGCTCTCTCCGTTCTCAGAGCCCGGAGAAGCCTTGCGACGCCGGGTGGTGTTCTTTGCTGCTGCAGGGCGTCCAGCTGCTGCCATAGGCAAACCTGCGTCTGGCTGTGGCAGGACCTCTGGAATGGGGGGCTCTTTAAACATTCGCACACCATCATTCAACAGCTCAGACAACCCACGCCAGTCTCCAGTGCCTTGCCGCTTCTCGTATTCCACATAGCGTAGCCCAGAGTTCACCGCTTTACCTGCATCTTTGGCTGAGTCACGGAACATCTGCCTGACCAGGTCAGGGACTCCTGAGAAGATCATTCCAGAGCCAGCTGGGTACTCCACAAACACCTTCAGCTCAAACTCTGGAGTTGTGCTGGCATCAAAGGCCAGAACACGACCCATCAGATTATGGTCTTTCCTGAAGCGCACATTGAAGGGGACACAGCTGCTGAGAGCTACAAGAACATCCCTGACTGCTTTGGGGCGATTTGGCCAGCCTTCAACCCGGCTGCGAGCCACCTCATTCAGTTCTGCCATCACCTCATTGTTCCTCCACACTGCAGGATCTATACCCACCAGAGCTGAGGTGCTAGCTCCCACACCCAGGGACACAACCTGCCTTCTGCCACCTTCTCCCATAATAGGGCCAGCTGCAATTGGTGTGCCCCCAGCCCTGGAGCCTGATAAGGGGGTTAGAAGCCCATGAGGTGCTGCTACTAACCCCTGAGCTATCAAAGCATGAGATATTGCTCCATGAAGACTAGGAACTGCCCCGACTATAGCCCGGCGGGTGTTTGGGCTCTGTCTGCTGCCCTCCGAGCCCACATCGTCAGCTCTGTGCAGGCCATTTGGGAGACGAGAAGACACCCCGTACTCACCCCTCCCCCTTTCTATACGCTCTCCATGCTGCCGACCTGCATCAAGGGGCCCGACCGAGCTGGGTTTACCCTGCTGGGGACCGGGGGACCTGCCGTCTAAAACTCCGTGTGTGCTCTTCAGCTGCCTGGCAGTCTCAATGAGGAGCTCTATCCTGTCTGCCCCGTCGTAGTTAACACATCCCCGGCACACAGCCTCGCTGAACTCCCACAGCATGGCCCAGGGCATCTTCGGTAGGTCGCAGAGGTAGCACCATTGCCGTCTGGAGGAAGGCTGCGAGGCGGAGGACATGTTGTTTACAGGCCCTCGACCAAACTTTCTTCGGAGGCCTACACGTTACAATCTACGTTTCTTAACAATGATTCACTTCTTACACACCACTCGCCACATGGCGCATTTTTTAGAGTGGAAATGTTACGAACTACCAGATCAAAACACCACCGTTAGCGACGGTATTTTAAAGTTAGCGACGTCTTCTTTCTCGATTTGTTCGTGTCGGTCTGTGTGGAAGGAAGTAAAATGTTATAAGACACCGGAAACACCTACGCGGCTGTGGCCCAGGGCACTTTGGGAGTTGTAGTTCTTTCTTGATGACACATTATTGTGCCTTGTATTTCATGATAAAATGCAGTAGGAACAACTGAAGGTTTACACAGCGGCTTAATGAGACAGATTATTGTAAACAGGTAGGAGGGGAATTCTGCTTTGTATTTACTGACCTATCGGAGTTGCTGGAATCGGCTTTTAAATGATAGCTCGGTTATAGCACTTCCTATTCCTTGTGTCCTTTGATTTAACATTTCAAATTTGGCAGGAAAATTTAACTTTTTCCCAAACAATAAATCACCCCTTAAAAAAACCGAAATGGGGAAACGTAATGTTACACAAACACCATAAATGTATGCAAGCAGCAAACAAATAATCCAAACTGAACAATAAATGGTACCCTTTCCTGTATTGTTATACAGGTTTCTTGGCATGTAAATGGTCTGCAAAGGCTAAAATGTATGTGTTCCCTTCAGAGGGAGTTTCTCTCCCACACACACTCTCTGAAAAGCCTTTATTGGACTCCTTTGTTTACTTCCTTAACATAGTGACATCTCTATGTAACACTTGACCATTCACAAAAAGGTGGCCAGCTAACCAATCAGAGCAGATAAATAAAGACCTTTTTGAACATTAAAGCACAGAAACATGTCACAGTAGAGGCCCAAGATAGAACCTGAACCTGAAAAAGAGCATAATAGGGCCCCTTAAAATATAATGTGGTTAGTAAAAAATAGTCTCTCATATAAGGGGATTATTTTGGATGTGCTGCTAGTAACATGCTTTTTACTAAATACTTTAGGTGAATATGTAAGTAAATAGGTCTATTTAGGGCAATTATTTTTCTAGCTTTAATTCATATCTTCCACTTGTGAAACTAAACCCTAATGTAAAGTTGCTTCAAAGCCTGTGTATAGATGGTATGTGGTAAACTGAAACAGATAATTAGTAAGTCAATTCAGTATTTCCAGACCAAGTCATATTTACAGTATTAATTACAAAAAATGACAACTTGACATTAAAATCTTGACAGTAACTAAACAGATGACCAACTCTTTCATATCTCCCATCCTTTAATCTTCATAGTGATACTCTTTTACTCCAGGTATTAAAATATGGAAGGCACCTGACCACTTCAGTACACAGATGTCAGTGTGACTACAGCTCTCAAGCAATGTATTCTGATATCCCTGTGAATTGATGTTAACCAGTCGAGAGTGAAGAAATTATGAAAGAAACAAACAATCTGAAATGTGAACTAAGGTTATATCAGCATTCACACTAGGGTTACTCTTCACTTGATTTAAAAAGAAATTGTCCCCATTTAAATGTATATTTCAGGGTAGTGAGGGGTTATTAAAAACTAGTGTTGTGAAAGTACAAAATAAATTGAAAAACATGATAAATGTAAATAAATCATACAAAAATATGGTTTAAATAACATGTTCTAAAGCACATCAGTTCTAGTTTTTGTCAATACTGATTGAAGGTTTGAATGGGAGGTGAAACCAGAACTGTGGTAAACTATATGCAAAGACACAAATTGTACAAATAGTAAGAGGGGAGAGTATTTAGTTGGCATGGTGTGTGGTCGAGAAACACAGCTTCAGTGTGTAAGGGTAAGGCCCACCTGGAAGAAAAAAGAAAGCAAAAAAAAGGTAAATGTAAAGGCTATAAAATGTTAAATACATCATAAGTCTACATGACCAGCTTATATTAAAACATCTTTGTATATCTATGTAACACAATAAGAACTTACTAGGGTTTTTCATCTGGAAATGGTTAATCATAGCTAGGGCTTCCATGGCATCGTTGATGGATTCCCACTCCAAAAGGCCAGAGGAACTTCGCTCACCTTTGTTCACAAAATGCTTAAATTAGATTAGTGTAATAGAAAACATTGCATGTTAATCTTTATACATACAGTCTATATAGTATTAATGCTTTAAACTAAAACTGTAACAGATCTGTAGAAGTAAGATGGGGTTTGCTATACACTAACAGTTCCCTGTACGGTTAGTTTAGAAATGTTTTTTTTTTTTGTATTATTGTATTTTATTTACACACATCTACTAGCACTTATTACTTTACCTTTTTCAAATATAGAAGTGTGTCTTCAGTATAAAAAAAAATGATTGGCAAAACAAAATCACAATCTACTACAGGGCATGGTGGAACTTATAATACTCACTCTTTCCGGTGAAAAGCTTCACACTTGTGGCGCACTTAATTCCTAGTTCATCGCAGACCTAAAGAGAACAGAGGTCTTAGTGGAAGTTTGAGGCGATGTGTGAAAAGCCAAATCTACACTTCCAGATAAAACCCTGGTGGTTCTCTTGCCTGGTTGAAGATCTCTGCAGTGATGTCGGGCTGTGCGTTAAAGAAGTGCAGGACGTTGCTCGGGTGCTGGATTCGGTTCTTTGCCGCCTGCTCTGAGGAGGTAAAGCGATTGTTGCGGGATCCGTGGAAATCTTTGAAGCTGCTGCTGTTGTCCTCTAACTGGTAGCACTGTCCCGGCACAATGGCCTGCTGCTTTGACACACTGCCAAGGAAAGAGAGACCGAGGTTGTACATCACCCCATTTTTTTTAAATACAAGATGTGAATTGTAATGTTTGTAATAGTTTGGACAGTTGCTCTTACCATACGTTGAGTTTCTGTCCGAAAAGGAAGTTGTTGTTCAGGTGGGTGATGGCCCTGTCCACAGAGTAACAGTCTCCCATCTCCACCATTGCTGCTCCGGGCTTACTCTTCATGAACTTAATCTGAAGGTAGAACAAGATCCAGCTGAGAAACACCCAAATATGCAGTATGAAACTACTGTTGCAAAAGTATTTTCATCACCGGTCGGTCAATGAGTTTCTTAATTGATTAGCTTCAATTAATAAATGCAAGTTCTCAGAGGAGTGGCGATGTCTTCAGTTTGCCTTTTTTGTCACACACTCTAAAATATAATGAGCGATCAACCACTCAATAAAAAAGGGCTGATAACGAGTCTGTCAATCAATTCATTTTTGCCGTTTATTTTTCTGACACTTAACATTAAGTCCAATAGAAAACAATAAACTGAACATTCGGCCCCTGGTTGACGTTAATTATTTCAGTTCCAATGGTGTTCCGTCAGCATCACGTCACTCACCCTCTCTACGTTGCCATAGAGACAGAAGATGTTGAAGACCTTGTCGGCATTGACCTTGGAGGGCTCAAGGCCGTAAACCATTAGAACTGGTGAGTCAGCATGAGGCCCGTACTCAGGGGGAGGGGGTCCATATCCAGGGCCGTAGCGCTGGCTACCCCTGCCACGCCCACCCATACCTGGCCCCATGCGGTGGGGAGGAGGGGGCCCGTAGTTGTCTTCACTGTAGCCATGATAACCTCCTTGAGGGCCACCTTAACCAGAGAAAACATATTTAAGGCACAGATACAGTATTGGAATGTGATCCTTTCCTTATAAACGTCTATGGGATATTTACCGTAATCCGGTGGGTGGTCTCCCAGAAGAGCGGGCTGCCTCTGGCGTTTGTTGGGATTGGCATTGGGATCTAAAATGGTAAAATAATAGTTGCCTATCAACAGGTTCCTCACCTAATGTGTACTAAGGGGCAAGGATGTGATTGACATGCAACAGAGGGGCCTGACATGTTAAGTGTTAATACGTGACATAATGGAGATTTCTTTTTAGCAGTGATTTTGAAAAATAGCTTTCAATCAAGTTTTATAAAAGACCTCTTATTAGCTATCCCAGGACAACCACACACACCTTGTGAATTGTTCCAATTGCCTTCCCCATCAGCATCTGTGCAGGTACACATACACACACGTCAAATCCAAATAAACATTAAAAAGTAGAAATGTGTATAAACATCATATCATATCCCTTATTACAAACATTCTGGTGGAAGATCAGAGAGACAAGTATGTGTCAGTGATATGAGCAAGTTTTATTAACTCTCTACAGGCATTACAAACAAGGATATGAGACGCATAACATCCAAAATGAATTGTCATCAGCATCAGTTTTGACTAGATGACATGGTGTAACAGAAAGGATAACTCCCAAAGTATAGACTTGGCTCCTAGATTTTCCAAATGTTATTGAACCAAATTAATGAAAGTCTGAGCGTGAACAACATCATCTCACAGGGCTTGTGGCGCTCAGAACTCTTTTCATCCATTTCAGCTGCCACAGTAGCCTCGGAGCAGGCAATGGTGGAGCAAATGTAAACAAGTGACGATTCCAAACGCTCCCGAAAGACAGACCCTCCCCCGGTACACAGACGGACAGGGTGGATAGGGAGTCAGTTAATGGACTTTTAGACGCTTTTGAATTCTATAAATTCTATTACCTTTGTATTCCTTCAGGAAGTGAACAGAAATATGACCCTAATTATTATTAGCAGCTGCATTTCACCTTTACTTGAAAAAACAAACGGTGCTGAAACTAAATTAAAAAACAGCACCACGACCAAAATCCACGTACAAATATAATAAATAATAAAAATATATATAATACAATAAAAAAAAAGTCTTCCCATAGATACTAAGGTAAAGGCAGAGGGTCTGTGCCTCAGGGTGCTTCCTCTGAAAGGGGACTTTTCCATGGGGATTGCCCTGTGCTCTGTAAATGATAGAGTATCTTCCAGTCCTGTTCTTTATGAAAGGTGCCGTGATTTGGTGCCATTTAAAAATACATTGACCTGCTTGCGACGCAACATGAAGTAGTAAAGCATATAGAATTAGAATTAAACCTTTTTTATTATTAGTTAGAGTTAAGAACTTTTAATTTTGTGAAATTTGTTTTCTGGTGTTACAATAGGCCAATGTTTTATTGATTTATTAACTTGGCTCAACAATTCAGTTTCACAATAACTTTGAACCATTAAGTCAGTTTATGCATTCATTTGTCGAGTACTTACAGCACCACACATGGAGCATGGGACACAGTGGGCAGGTAGGGGGCAGTCTTCAGCAACGATGCTACCAGCCAACCTCTTGACTCAACTCATTCTCCCTCTTCAGTCTTTTCTTCCTCCTTCCCTTCCTTGCATCCCCACCACCAGAGAGAAAGGTAAATCCACACAGCCATGCTTGGTTTTGATTGCTGCCGGTTTTGTTTTGAAAGTTGCTATAGAGGCTCATTTCCAGCTTACCGTGCTCTGACCACAAAGCAGGACATTTGCACCGTTTGAGAATGGGCTGTCTGTCCACAGACACACTGAGCCAAACCTGCATCACTCGGGAGGCGGTAGAGGCATCACTATAGGCCGGTGCAAAAAAAAAGGGAAAATGAAACAACGCAGAAACAACACAAGAACATCACAGAGAGGAGGGAAATGGGGAAGAAGGAACAGGGGAAAAAAACAACACCAGAGTCCATACATGTAGAAAGCTTTAGGAAAGGGTTTGAATCTGTTTGCATCTGTGCTTGTATGCTTGATAGGTGTTTGATGCTTGTGTCTTCGTAGGCCCCCCCTTGGTGGATGTTTCTTCTCATGTAAAAATGGATGATCGGGTTACGCTTGCTTTTGTGGTTTAAAAGCGGTCAGCCTGTTGCAAAGTCAAAAGGCATCTAGTGCTCGACAATAAGTCATCTGGAATATCTGCGTGACCGTGTGCTGACGTGGCGTTTCAGCTGTGTGTTGCCTTGGACATTCAGCTCGTTGTGTGGTCATGTTGTGTTCGGCACGGCGAGGGAGAGACGAGCGGTACTAGCGTCTGTGAAAGAGAGTGGCCTCTTTTTTTGTTTACGGCCCAAGTGTGTGGTATCGTCTGTTCCCTGGTTGGGCTTAGTGTGTATGAAACTCCTCTGTGGTCCCCTGTGGTTGTGTTATGGCAGGCTCATCCCAAGGGCCACCACACGTGACTCCCGCCCTCATCATCAATATATTGTGACTCCTCAGGGCTCTGCAGATGTGCTGTACTGGTAAAGAGGTGGTGGTGGATGCTTGTCAATCTATCAGTCTGTGGTGGATATGCGAGGTGTCTGTTTGCTTGGAGTATTTCTGTCACTCAAACTGAAACTGAAATGACCACCACCACAAGTAAAATAGTCTCCCATGTCAGGTGGTGGAGATAGGGGTGATGATGGACTTGGAATAAGGAAGTAGTGAGTTGAGGTTGTGTTCCGGTATTTGTTGCCCCACTGTGTCCGATGTATGCCACGGAGCGGATATACGTAAGTTGTGGCTGTGGGTGCTGTTATTCTGTAGCTGTAGGAAGCGCTGTGTCTGCTTAGAGGCTGAGGTAAAGCCTGAATGAGTTGCACAGTGAGGACACAAGGAGTACCTTTGGGTTTGTAAGGCAGCACAAACTATAGAATATCAAACACCTGTATAACACTGGAGATGTACATGTTGTAGTCATGGATGTGTACAAGAAAAACCCCTATGTCAATTTGCCAACAAAAACAAAGACAATCAACAATGTCCTCAGTGGTAACAAGTATTGCTCACCACACCATTTAAGGCAGATATGAATTGCGGCTCCATCTCAAACCCTGAAACCTCATTAGCTAACTGTTTGCCAACTTGCATTTAGCTGTATTATGTATTTTGGTAATTAAAGTGGCAGAGAAAGCTTCTCTCGTGGATGTATACGCATACAATGCAATTTTAGCAGTAAATAACAAACCCATTTGAAAAAACAATGCCTTATGTCAACATGACCTGGTGTTTGCTAAAGGTAATCAACAAGTCTTATAACAACTGAAGTGTGTTGACACTTAAAATACAGATTTGAAAGCTTAAGAATGTCGATTACACTATAAAGTGTGTTTTTAATGTATGTTTTACATTAAAAGATCCCAGGACAGGAAGGATGTTATCGTTTCAATCTGTTGTTCCATATTTAATATTGGCAACAAAACATACCAAAACACTTAAGCCATTGATTATTATGTTTATGATTCAACTACCCTCACCCCTCCCATTATGAAGGTCTATCCTCCTGTAAAAATACGTATTGAATAGATAAAAGCCTGGTATCTGTATAAGATCGCAGAAGTGGCTTATGGGACCTTTAACAAAAGAAGTGCTCTCACAAGTCATATCAGCTTGCTAGTGCAATGTCTAATAAAAGCTATGATCAAATCTCCAATATGTTTGAAGGAATCCTAACAGGTGTGATTGCCTATGCAGTCGACAGGAGTGTGAGGTTGTGTAGCTGTGACATGCTCTATGGGGAATGTGAACCTGTGAAGAGTAGTGCACCTATGTGTTCTACTGTGACGGGTGCATGCATGAACCTGTAGTAACGATTGGCTGCCCTTGAGGTCGCTCCTCATGCCCTTACTTTGAGCCTGCTGTGTGGTGAGAAAATGCATGAAGACAGTGAAGGCATCACAGGAATACTGCCTGTGAACAAGATGCTAAACGGTGAAGGAGACCATTCATCTCTGATCAGAGGCAATACCCCCGGAGGCAGAGAACCCTAACCATCCCAAACAGGGGAATGAGAGGAAAAGAGAAAGAAAAAGGGGGAGGGAAGTTTGGGGACTGCGTTACCTTGGCCACTGAGGTTGGGGTTGGTATAGTCCCACGTGTCCTGGTCGTTCTTGAAGACGTTAAGGCGTGCTGGCTGTGAATGGGATTGGATCACCAAAAATCAAAACTAGCATTTTCTCACTAACATCTGTGTTGCTTGGACAGGGCCGTACACTTACCTTGGCATACTCAATCTTTAGAGTGCAGCAGCCAGAGTAGATGTCTGCTCCGTTCAGCGAGGCTTTGGCTCTCTGAGCGCTTTGGACCGAATCAAATGTGGAGGCAGAAAGTTAAGGTGAGGTCTGATAATAGAATTTTAGGGGCCAAAGTACAATATAACATCAACATATTGTCAATTATAGTGCATCCAAATGTAAAAGAATATGTCCAATTAACAAGACACATTTTAGAAAGGATATTCCACCATGGCCTGAACACCATTCTTTCTGAAGATGACGATCCTCTGTACAGGACCACAGTTGTTGCAGATGGTGTAGAGCACATCCTGCAGAGACACACAGAAACTTTCATATCAACCTCCAGATATAGTAATACACTTGATTATTGCCCTTTCTATACAAAATCATTTGATGACCTGAAAGAGGGAACTAAATTAATAGTTTTTAGTATAGTATATTTTATGAAGGAAACTAAATGTGAAGATACACAATATTTACATTTTTCTATCATGCTGATGCTGTTTTTACATTAGTTTGCAATATCAGGTTCAATGAAAGCAGTGGGAAAAGAATGTACTGTTTGATCGTCATAGTACCTCTTAACTTACACTGACTAAAATGTGAATTGCAAACCCTATTATTTGCAGTGATTTCATTAATAATCCTGTCTGCTTTTGTTATAATATATACTGTCCATGCATACAGTTCAACAAACTTTCTACTATATGATGATGTGAACAATATACTCTTCTTATAATGCAGTTACCGTGGTGATAGGGTAGATGGGGTTGATGACGGTGAGCAGCAGCACGTTGTTGACGCTCCGGGTGTCGTCGGAGTCTCCTGGCCGGGAGATCTTCTGGCTGGTGGAGTAGTTGATGAAGGCGGGGTGGCCAGCGATGTAAACCTGGTTCTCTGCAGCGTACGTAACAGCATTGCAGGAGCCACTCAGGTCTTCATACTCCACCAGGGCCTGGCGCTTCTTCGGCATCATAACCACATAACTGTGAATACATATTGTCATTATAAAACCTATAAACTACCGTAATTTTCGGACTATAAGCCGCGCCTTTTTCCCCATTTTTCGACCCTGCTGCTTATATAACGGTGCGGCTAATCTATGGATTTTTACAGCTAACGGCCACTAGGGGACCTCCTAAATCTATGGATTTTACAGGTTACAGTCCACCACCTTTAACTCTATGGGCTCTATGGCCGGTCCGCGCCCCCCATCTTTAAGCGGCGGGTTCCAGCAGGAAAAGCTGGAGGCCGGAAAAGAGTGAGACAGGTAGCGCGCAAAAGTAAAAGTGGAACCGAGAGTGGTACGAGAGACAGAACGAAAGCAAGACAGACAGACATTACGAGAGCGAGACAGTTTGTCCCCGTACCACTGGTTGAAAACAACTGCTGTAGATCACTGCCGGTACGTGCGCTGGGAGCGCACCGTTTAAGTTTGAAAGTTGAAAAGTTTGTGTGTCTGAAACGCTATGTGATACAGTACAGTTTACACAGCACAGTACATGTTCTGTAGCTACTATTGCACTAAATGGTAACACTTGAATACGTTATGCAAATATGCTACTTGTTTGTTGAAATGTTAATAAATGGGAGCTTCCTCAAACAGCCATCTCTTTCCCGACAATCCCCTCTGTGCACGAACCCTTACATATGGTAATTAAACATTAAAACCCCTGCGGCTTATAGTCCAGTGCGGCTTAGTCCGAAAATTACGGTAGATCACTGAAAATGTATTGGTTAAAGTATGAGTCACATTGCTATTGCACAGACTTTGACTATAACTAGCTCAATTTTAACCACCACTATGGTACATTTTTCATATAATTGAAAGTATGGATTCCTTTTTATAGGAAAGAGATGACAAAAATTATTACAAGTGGAATATGTTTGTTGACTTGCAGTTCACATGTAAAGTTCATTGGTATGCTACGTACCCAGTATGGCACAAGATTCAAAGGTTTTATTTTCATATGCAAAACAGCTACAGCTTAGCAAAAATTTAAATACAAAAAATAGTGCCAGAAAATAATAAAAGTGACACAATGGTGCAATTAAAATGAATATGAAAACTTTGTAAAATAAGATAAAACAGAATGTAAAATTATTTACTGTACAGCGGAATAAAATACTGTATATTGTAATAATATATAAATAGGTGGACTGTAAACAGATGAATGTGCTATAAACATTTGTAAGTGAAAACACTTTACAGAGCTCAGAGTTCAGCAGTCTTATAGCCTGGTGGTCAGCACAGATAAGAAGTCAACTTGTGTCTTAAGAGTGCTTTTATCGGGTTGTCGTGATTGTTCACACATTACATCTGAATAAATGCACCAGGAAACATATCATTGAAGAATGCAGTGAAAGCATGTTAGGCATACACATTTTTACAGCAGGCCCAGCCTACAGGAGATTTACAATCATAACTGATTTTGATATTGGGTTGCATCACGCACATGAGGAGCAATTTCAGATTTACTTTTTAATATCATACATGATGAGCACAGATGGGTCTACATCTGTAAACCCCTCATACTACCAGATCATGTGGGTAGAGCATTGAGTTCTACCCCTAATATAGACATTTGAATCAGGTATTAATCATCCCAAACTCCTGTAGTTAGAGCCAGAGTACAGGTGCTGTTATTACCTGATGGCCCCAAACTCCTGCAGGGCCTCCGCCAGGTCAGACTCCATGATGCCGTCCACCAGGCCCCTGATGTGCACCACCAGGGAGGGCAGCGGTTTATGGGGGTCATCGTAGCCCTCCTGTAAACACACAACATGATGCTTCTGGGGTCAAAAATACTTCCACCGCTGCTGGACAGGTGATGGAGCAGCAGCAGACCGGTAAAACAAGTTAGAAAATAGCAGCCCAAGTCAGTGAGTCCTGAATAATAACGTGTACTGTGCTGCAGAATAGCGTTATTAACATTGAGGTAACATACCATGAACGTTTAAGGGGTGTGACATTTAACGGTACTATTTATATTTGCCCAACTTATCAATAAGGTGCACCTGTTTGTAGGAGTACGGACAATTGCATTATTTATGTGTCGCTAATAGAATATTATTTAGGCACATTGGATGACGCGTTGTTTTAGCTCAGCATTGTGAACTGGTTTGCTACACAGCCGGCTAGCTTCTGCCTAATAGCTAGCTGCTTGATAAGCACTGACAGCTTCTTTGTCATGCTAAATTCATATCTCAGAAAAGCAGAACCTAGCACATTTTGTTAAAATAAAACAATAGCTATCAAGTTCAAAAGCAGAGCCCCACCGTTGTCATTCCTCCGTCCTCAGTTTTCTGTCTTTTCGTTGCTCTGCCACCTTCTCCGAAGTATCGGCCTGCAGCAGCAGCCATGTTGTCCTGTCCCCGGCTGTACCGTGCAAATGCTGCATTCAGGAATTGTGGGAAAACTGAGTTTTGCTCAACGACTTGATTTTATGTTGGCCTACCCAAAGTAAAGTTTTTTCAATTGATCCTGAAATCCCATTTTATTCTGCAGATGGAAACAACATTTACCTCGAACTTTCCTTATAAAACTGCCACTTGGCCAGGGTGCTCATATATGTAATTATTTCCTCTTAAATGGTGCAGAGCGTCAATTGATCACTTTACCCTGACAATCATTAATATTATTGTGTCCTCCAGAGGGGAAGTGAGGTTAAACAATGGCCCGTTGAGCTGTCAAAACACAGACACTGTTAACCTCTAACAAGCTGGTGAATCATAAAAAACACTAACCTAAATAGCTAGAATTTGAATAACCTGGAAATGTTTCCCAACATTTAGAAAAAACTCCACACCCCCTAACTTTATTGTATGTTAGGATTTCTCTCCAAAGGAAATGGATAATGTACAATTAAAGTGACCCAACCAGCATCATTAATGCTTAAGCACCCTTGTACCCTTGTTGTTCAGCAGTGTCCCTGCCAAATGTTGCATGTTTAAATGGCAAGGCAAAACCGTTTTTTAACTGTTCCACTTCCCTCTGAGTATGTGCACTACTACAAAATACCAAGTAGGCTCATTTGAATGTTAATAATCTCAGAAACATTTATCTAGCTTGGTTTAGACCAAGTGATGCGTCTTTTGCCACTGACGCAGAGGATTTCTTCCAGACATTAGCACTGGTCTGGATCCAGTCATCACCTCATCCTGTATAAAGGCTTAAACATTAGGTTGGTCTGTCAGGTAGGGCTATAGTCTGAGTCTTGCTTTTACCATACTATTAAAATACTTACAAATATTAAAATAACGATTTCTATCCTTTCAATATTCCCAAAGCTGCTTTCCACTTTTGTTTGGATATACGTCGAAAAGACATCTTATGGCATTAAGGAGAATTTTGGAGCATGGCATGTATTTAAGGCCGTGTGAATAAATGTCCTCGATGACATGTCATATTCTTTGAAAAATATCTTGATATTAAGGTTGTCTTCTTCTCCACTTATGAGGCTGTAATACTTACACAACCAATGTTGGTAATCCAATGAAGACACACTCAGGTACATTTCAATGTAATTGATACAGCTTACAATAAAGTACAATATATTTTTGTTAATTTCAGCTCAAATACATTAAATTACAAAGACATTAAATGACACCATTGATAAATAAACAGATGTTAGGGGTGAATAAAACAATCACACTCAATGGCAGATACTAGGTACATTTTTATAATTCCACAGCTTAGTAGAGATTCATTGCCTTTGTAATTATATGTCAATAATACTTTTCAACAATGGGGTATTACTTTTGATTGTTACTTTTATCAATGCTTATAGTGTGAATAAATTCAGGAGGTGCATTACATTAAACTAAACGGTGCCTCGTGACACACAACTCAACAGAAACACAGTTTTTCAGTGTGAGATTTTACAGCTGCTTATCTCACAAACTGAAGGATTGTAACCAAACTGTGCTTGTACACCAGAAAACAGTTCTGATTGGCTGGCAGTACCATTCAAAATAGTACACCAAGACAACTCAAACACTTCCACTAAACAGTTGTATTACCACTGTTCTAAATCTGTGGGAAAAACTGAAGCTAACCATAGCAACAACACTTTATTCTTTGAGCTAAATGACAGATTAACTCCATTAAAGAGACATAATTATTGGTTTAAGCTGCAAATGACAACACAGATGTGAGTTTGAAATGGAGCTTCTGTGTGACAATGGTATGGTAACACAATGATCACAGTTGTCCTTACACTGAAAACATGTTAACTTAAATTAAATGTATAACTGTATGTCAACAAATTATACATAATTGTATTAGGTTTGTTGAAAGTAGTAAGTTAAAGTTTGAATACAAACTATAAGGTTCAACTTAATAGTTCAAAGCAATAATATTAAGTTGAAACTAATATTTTGTATTTAAACTTAAAAGTATTGCTTTCAACTAACCTAATACAATGTGTAATTTGTTGACATAATACATTTCATTAATTAAAGTCAACGTTTCAGTTTCTAAAGTGTACATTGCAAATCTGTGTAAAAGCAGCTGTCGTTGTTTTACACATTTTATTATGAGGAGAAATTAGTCCAAACTTGAAATCCAGGTTGTCAGCTGTCAGGTATCAAACTAAATCCAGGGACTTCACAGAGAACCAGCTTTGCTCAACTTTATCATAAAATGTCACTGCATGTTATTTAGTCCACTTAAGTTAAAATTATTCAGTGCAGTCACAATAAATTCTGATGACTGGGACTGTCCTGCAGTGGATATGACGTAACGGTTTGCTGTGCCAGTCTGCGTATACATTTTATTTTGAACCATGGCAGCGGTGATGATAGGTCTTCTCAGTAGTAATATGGAACAGAAGTGTAATGTCCTGGTGATGTGTGTTTGTGATCCTGCAGTCACTTCTCTCCCCTGCTGTGCTCTCTTAGAAGCCCTTTATATGGCAGTAGGCCTCCAAGCTGGAGAAGAGGATGTAAAGGAACCAGAGTCCGAAGAGGAGCAGAGAAGTGATGACTTTGGTGACTCGAGGGCCACCCAGTTCGCCGCCTATAGACGGCCTCCGGCGTATCATCAACACTCCCATAGCGAAGAATGCGAAAATGGTGAAGAGTGTGACGGAGAAGGCCAGCGAGCCGGGGTCAACGCGAAAGACTTTACCTTTGACTTGCCAATAGATGGCAGCCACGGACCAGGCCAGCCCAATGCCCAAAAACACATTGACCGCGTTGCTTCCTGTCACGTTTCCCACACATGCATCCGCATACTGGTCCTGAGTGGCAGCCACTTTACTGGCAAAGGTATCTGGGAAAATAAACACCAAGATAAATACACAGTATTCGAAAAGTGTTGACCACCAAATATACAACAACACAGACTATGACACCGCTGTTGTAAAATAACACCAATGTGCAATAATGTAAAAAAAGAAAAAAAAAGAAAAGCCAAACAAACACTACGACCCCACTGTTGTACAACAACTCTTATGTGCAATAAGTTGCTAGCTAATATTATTATTACTACTGGCTGCTACTCTTAGTTAATTAGTTATTTAGTCCATCCATCCATTACTGTAACAATAATCTTTATGTAACTATGTGCCATAATATTTTAATACTGGTATATACCACTCTTCATTCTATAATGTTACAATTATTTTTATTTTATAAATACTGCTGCTACTTACTTACCTACCTGAATGTGTACATCTGTAAACTGTAATATTTTTTATTTAAAATAATATGTACATGCCTTTTAACATAGTGGTGTTCTATTAATTTCGTCTCTATCTATACTTTGCTGTAACAATGTAAATTAAATAATTCAGTTCTTCTCATCCAGGCTAAGACTTCTGGAATACATGCACTGACTTATACATTTGGGTTACTGTGTCTGCCTCCCTACTCAGTAGTATCACTTACCAGGAAGGGAGGTCCCCAGCGCTACAAAGACCACCGCAGTGACCGTGTCTCTGAGGCCGACGGTGCAGCCGAAGTGGGAAGCTAGGTCTCCAATAATGGCTGTTAAGAAACCAATGACAGAGATTGACACTATGAAGCACGCCCATCCGTTCCAGTACTGTGTGGGCGGGCAGAAGGCAAACAGAACCTTCCAGAAAACGCACACTATGTGTATGAAATAGTCGCAGCAGTTCGGACTTCGCTGCTCTTGTCCCTCCTCTTCATCTCCGTCACCTGATCGAGGGAGACACAGTGAAGATAGATCAAACACACCTTCCACAAAATAATACGTTAACAATTTGGATGCAGCCAGAAGTAAAAACACAACTTCTCATTTTTTCTACGATTTACACAAATGGTGTCTGACATAACTATAAGGGAGCTTGTGATATGAGCAGGTTGGCAGATTTTGTAACATTTGAACATAGCCAGGTTGGCTGTCTCCCTTGATTTCCACAGTTTATGCCAAACTAGGCTCATCTGCTATTAGCTGTAGTTCCATATTTAACTGACTGACATAAAATGATATCAATCTTCTTGTCTAACTCCGACAAGAAAAGGAATTAGGATATTGAATGTTTTTACAAAATGACAGGAACGTTAAAACACAAAAGAATCAAACCTAACCAGTACATTTAATGATGAAATAAAAAACAAATATAAAATAGCCACTGACCTGCACTGACTGTGAGTGCTCCAATGAACTGCTCTCTCCATGAGTGAGTGCCAATCACTACAGCCAGATTTGTGTCCTTCAGGAGTTTGTCCACTGTGTTCTGTTACAACACATCAAATATCTGTATTTCATCTTTATATAAACAGATCATTTTCTTTGTGGGATTATCAACAACATGCTGAAATAAAGTAAGCTTATATCAGAGGCTAATGATGCAGACAAGGTCCTGTTGTGAATTGCAAAACTAATATGGCAAATATGAACACACTAACATTAATAGTATACCCACAAAATCACTGACTTTGAATTTAATAAAACATAAACCAACTGAAAAATTCAAACAGCACACATGAATGAACAAATATCTGAACTCAAGATACTTGTAAAGCATATGAAAAGTGGATAATTCAAAAAGGGTATCTATTAATATGATAACGTTAAGAGTATAATGAGAGTATACAAAAATTGAAAACAAGATGAGAAATGACTAATAAGTCCAATGACACACAGGATGCAGGCAGAAACTGTACCTGGTCTAGCACTCCATTGGGAGTCTGATGAGTAAGAGGGTGTGAGGCGGTTAATTAGCCGATGCACGCACGCACGCGCACGCACACGCACACGCACACACACACACACACACACACACACACACACACACACACACACACACACACACACGCACACACGGGGCAGGGTGAAGTTTGGATTACTAAGGTCATATGCTCTGAGAGACACACACGCTCATGGGCACACACACACAAACCACTGAATAAGGCAACTGTTTCCAAAGAGTGGAAAAGTAGGTGATGAAAGATAACAGAGAACTTTAACTAAACTAAAGTGACACGGTGAGCTGCAGAGTGTAATTAGCAACACAGGGAAGTTTGTTTTCTACCAAACACTGAGACTCAAAATCATAAATCGATTGTTTTAGTACAAAGAGCACATTTTATTCCACAATAAAAGCACTAACCTCCAGTAACCTCGTTAATGCATTTAGGCCAACAAATGTCAAGATGATTTTAGTCAAGTTTTAGAACTTCTTTAGGCTATCATCAAATCACTGCATTATTCAAAAGACTTAACAAGAAAACACGATTGGTGTATGAAGGATGAAACTACCTGTGAATTTCAGCAGACTTTGCGAATGCGTTTTGCCATTATATATTACCAATGATATATAATAGTGATTTCTATGTCAGGGTTGGCTAATGATATCCAAGGTTCAGCCACTTTTTGATCTTGTTTTTTTTCATTTTTAATAATGCTGCCAGAAGTGTGCCTCCTCTCTTCATATGGTCTTGTCTCAGATGTTTGAAAGAGGATTCGCCTTTTCCTTTAACAAACATGTTTCTGGTTTTATATTAAGCACTTTTATACGATCTACTCACATCTGCCTTTAAAATGGAGACACAAAAAAGATAGATTATGTGTGGATGGATGTACAGAACAGGTATGTATGATGCTTGTGAAGTTCAGGTAATGTACAGTACCTGCTAGACTGAGGATTGTCAGAATCATCCGGAGCTGCTCTTTCGTACTGCTTAACCAGCGCACGAACACAAATACTCTTATCCGCATCCGACCCCCAGCTACTCACAGAAGACAAACAGAGCAGAGGTTATTCATCTATGAAAAAGTACTGGCATACAAATTGATCCCAAATATAGAGACTTAATATGTGAGCAGTTGTGAGAATGGTATTTTGGTGATCTGTTTGTCCACCAGAGGGCAGCAAAGACTACAGAAGTGTCTAACAAATGATTGCTGCTGTTGGAGAGAATATTTTGATATTACATAATTGGATGTTAGAGAAAGACATTGAGGGTTTTGTGTCTGTGTTAATTGTTATTGCTGCCAGCATACCTGTGGAGACGTATGGCGCGTGCGGGCTGCGAGGCGTCATGTCGAGCTGATGCCAGAGCCGCAGCGGCCCCTTGAGCCAGCGCTACGGGGGAGAGAGGGTTGTGGCTGCTGGAGCTTCGAGTCAAACTCCTCACGCCTCCAGAAGCAGCTCTGTGATTGGCTGAAGGTTTGAAGTGGGCCGCCAGCGCCAGAATGATCCTCATTACTGATTTGAGATTACCATCGACAATGTCTGCAGACAGAAGGGCAGCATATGATCAGTAATGACCTACACATGCACAGTATTTGCAATATACGGTGTAACCATGGAGTGCCGGGAAGCTTCATAACATAATATCATTAGGAAAAATGCCTTTAAATATTGCAAAGAATATGCTGTACAAACATGCCCATGATCTCTCTTCCCTGAGGCATATCTGTCACATGTAAACACATGATATACAGTCTTATGTTTATAATATAGGGTCATCAAGCAGGAAAGCATAGAAACACCTACTCTCGATAAGAGGGGAGAAGGAAAACATAACAGATTGTTCTGTGATTTACCTCTTGCGGATATGTGTGGCATACGTATGTGTCTGGAGGAAATGAACTGCAACACTTGCTCCACATTCTTCCTGCTCTCTTCTTTGTTTTGTGGAGCAACATACACTTCTTCCAGCACTTCCCCAGCTGCCAATTTGAATGAGATTTGAGAGAGAGAAACAAAGTAGTAAATCATCACCACAAAATGAGCAAATGTACAGTAGTTTAGCAAAAATGATTTCACTTGATCAGTTTAATGATTTTAAACATCGACCAATGGCTTTATAGCTTGCTCTGTCTGTTGTTTGGTTCACACAAATTACACCATCCTTTTTGTGGCCACAGTTTTAGTCCTAGGAGGAAAAATGTGTGTGCTTGTTTTTTTTTTTAACCAAGACAAAAATAATCTGCTCCAAAATCACTCATTTCCATGGGAATAATCGTCTAATACTGCAACATTGCACAATAATGTAGCATCAAAAACTGAGTATAAAGAACATTAAGAAAAATGTATATTTCTCTTTAAGAAGGTGTTATAACTATAGAGGGTGATTTGTAAATTAATTTAAAGTATTTTGTTCACTGCAGCAATGAAGGGTTTAGGCTTTACTCAAAGGAACAGGGTTGAAATGCATAAACCAAACATATTTATCCTGCTGTAAATTGTTGTTGCTTTTTGTCTTAATAAGATCTAAATTACATTATTGTAAAAGCAGAGAGGAGACATTCTTTACGTTCACAGAATTAGATGAACATAGTGTCTTTTTCGTTTCCTCTTTCAGTTAATACAATGAAACATTATAGTGTGTTACCATCGAGTGTTATCTTCAAATAATCTGACAAACTGTGACCAGACAAGTCACAAGTTGTGGTATCCTGTATTGTGCTTCTGCAAATTCTTAGTATGTGATTATATTTAAATATGGAAAGTCATACCGGCCAGTTGTGAAAGGGCGAACTGGTGACAAATAAAACATTTTTTTGTAACTCTGCACTCATAAATAACAGAAATGATTACATTGGAGAAGTTTCATCTTCCAACTACTAGAGCATGTTTCACTTTTTCTTGGTGTTATGGTGCATGAGTGTAATTACCAACTATCTCAATGAGTTGAGTGAGCACCACCCCATCCTGCAGATCATGTCTGAGGTTTGTGATGGGCTTCAGGTCGGGTTTCCTCTTCAGCTGACAGTTCACCCAGGAAACATAGGCTGTCAGCTGCTGCTGCAATACATCAATCAGATACACACAAATCCAATAAACCGCAACGGAACACAACACAAAACACAGCTTAGAGTAGGGGCCAAAAGAGGCTGAGACCCAGGCATGACAAATGAGTCCCTTTGTTTATTATGTTGGGACAGGAGGGGGGGGGGAGGGCAGGGTCCGTCTATTGTCTCACTGCCTATTAAAATGTGCTTTTGTGTGAAGGTCAATCATAAAGTCTCGTGTTCCGTCCATGGTTACACGGTTTAGCATTCACACCCCGTTATTTCACATGATGACTCCACCTTGACCGGTGCTGTGCAGTCACGTGACAGCCCGTTGTCCGGGATACAATACAAAAAAACGCACCACATTTTCAACACAGAAAAAAGGACTTAATGTAAACTAAATAGGATGTTTCGTTTGTTTATGAAACTTTAAGAATTATACGAAAACTACTCTTATTTCCTGATGAATGTTAAACTTGCCATTATTACTACCTTACTACCGTTAACTACAATGCTTTTTTCCCATTAAATAAGAAACAAATGACCGTTAAATACCTGAGGTGAACAAACAACAGGAATAACTTATGTCTACATAAAGTTGTAGCACTTTAAGGTTAGGGTGTCTTGCTATAGGATGGTTGGCAGATTCAACTGGCTTCCGCTTGCTAAATTGTGGCTAGCCATACATAATTAACATCAAAATTAGTAAGGCTAGGTAAACGTTACCTCATTAAAGCCCCCATGAAGAACCTCATCCAGCAAACTTCCTCTAGAAAGTGAAGCGATCATCTTTCCACTCGGAAACCCATCTACGTTAGCTAGCTTGTTAGCTCCATTGACTGAAACAACAGACCCCGTTACTAGCTGCTGCTGTACTCCAGAAAACGTCAACAAACAGACAATTGACTGAAGGAGGCTGCCGTTACTCTGGATGGAGACCGGCATCAAGTCACCAACACAGCCACATGCACGACTTCCGGTTGCAGGTTTAAAAATAAATGTGCTTTGATTAACACTTCCGGTAATGCAAGAGATCATGTTATCTTTGCCTAAACATTATTTGAGCTTTAAGAAATAAGTCTATATCTACGGAAGAGGATTAGGGCCACATGAAAAACAAAAAATGTGCTATTACTGGTGCTCATAATGTGTATCACTTTTTACTTAAAGGTAGGGTAGGTAAGAAAGAATGGAGAAACCAGCTCGAGTGCGCTAGAATTTGAAAGTACACAACCTGAAAAAATCTGCCCCTTCCTTCAGACTTCCTTACAGAGCCCCTCCTCCAACACACACGAACGCGCACTTGACCAATGAGGGCACGAGATAAGTTTGTGCACGAGATGGAAGGCTGACAGGCAGGTAGGCCATCCAGTTATTTTAGCCGGGCCGGTGATCAATATTTATGATAAAAAATTCATTTTACATATTTATATTTTCAATATTTCATTATTTTTGTAAACTGCTGAGAAAATAAAGCTATAATAATAAGTTGATTTATATTTTGTATTAATATTCAGAACTTCCAAAACTTTTAAAGTAAAATACGTGCAGTGGAGTGAAAAGTACAATATGAATGATGTGTAAAACAAACAATGCTATCCTTAGCTATCTCATAATCTGTCATTAACGACGAATCTTTCAACTATAATCCATAATCATTCATTCTAAAAAAGTATAGCGCTAAAATCAAAATAAACCCGAAATTGAATTCCCTTTATTACAAAGACCAACACTAGATGGCAGCTCTTACCCAGCTAAAACCCAATACAGTTTGTTTTTTTCACCTCTTTGCTCCTTCTTTCAAGATCTATGTTCATTTTGTCTTATGGGTTTTTCTCTTTCACAGTTTGTGACAAAGTACATTTTTTGTTGTTGTGGACAATTGTTTTTGACCCAGAGGTAAAAATATTAAAGAGGCAATGGTTTACAGACATAATGTTAAAAGGACATGTTACACTTGCCTTCAAAATGGTTTATTCCCAACTCTAACAGCTCTTCTACCTATCTATCTAATTTCATGTACTGCCAATTTACTAGTGAACATACCATAAGATTGGAGACCTAAATATAAATACACAGGATCATATTTTTTTATTCCAGGCAATGACAAATTACTGTAGGTAAAATCATCCATAACAGAATAAACATTCCTTACATTTACATTGTTCAGCATTTTTAAGTGTAACCAGAGATTCCAGTTCAATTTATTATTTGCTTTTAATTACCGAGCGTGCAGCCCTATATCCACGACATTATGGCTGTTAATGTACTCTGGCTATCTGGCTGAGCATGGTGGGCTCGTAGGATTGGATGTGTTCGGGCTGTTTAGAGACGGAGATGTAACTGATGCAGGAGAGTCTCTCTCTATCCGGCTGGAGTGGTGTGATCTCTGCCTGGAAGTGGATTGTGATGACTGGGCCTCTGGGTCTGGTATTTGCATGGCATTAAGATCCAGAATATGACCTGCATAAAAAGTGCAAAACAGAGTCATGTAACAAGAATTGACTGCAGGGCTGACCTTCTGACAAAAGAGTAGAGCTGAAACAATTACTTAGTTTATAGAATAGTCTATTAACATAATATTATTTGGAAAGATAACTGATAACTCTGATAACCGATTAAGTCCTTTGACCAGATAATGCAAAGATTCATTAGTTTCAGATTCTCTAATGTTCTTTTGGTTAAGACTGTTTGCCAGTTTTTAAAGATCGGGGGAAATATCACAGGCATTTGACACACTTTCCTGAGATGGCTAGGCCAAACATTTAATCACGAGAAAAATGTGCAACTTAATCAATGATGAAAATTGTAAACATCATGGACTTCTTCAAGTTAAGTTTTAAAGAAGTTTTGAGACTGTGACAATTGTGTTGTGGCTCAATGGAGGGCAGATTCATTAGGACATTTGTATCCCGACAAAATTATCACCATCACATCTTGTACAGATACTCAAGGTACACCAGAGGATCCTGATGACTTTGGGGTTAAGTTATCTTTTGTGGTATATGCTGATTAGCGACCATTAACATGCTAAACATTGGTGGTGTACAAGGTAAACAGCTTGCTAATGCTAATGCAGCATTAGAGAGAACAAGTGGTGACTGTTTTGTCTTGAGTCCACAAAGGTGTAAAACAGTGTCATGTCCTTTATTTACCAATTTGCAATGTGGTCTGATCCAGCATGTGGAGGTAAGGGAGGTAGATGTTGCTTGGTCCAGGAGGAGGGAAGCGCATTTTTCCATCGTCCAACACCACTCTCTGACCAAAAACACTTAGCTGAAGAAAATGGAGAAAGAGTGATTTTAAGCCTTTTGAATTCTGACTAGTAGAAGTATATAAATGCATGTTTGTGTGTTTGTTTACCTGCTTTTTAAGTAGCTTCTGTGTCAGTTTGAGAAGTGTGATGCTCTGTACTCCTCTTAGGTCGCTGAGCAGCAGAGTGGCCCGAGCCAGAGTCAGGCTGGATCCTGGAGGCATCGATGTGTGTCCGGACAGCAGGGCCACTGCTTCCTACTCACATGCATTCAAAGAAACAACATGGGAGTACTTTAAATACTTAAGACCAATACATTTGTGACACTTCATAGACACAGCAGCAGGCGACAGAAAAAGACAGCAACTTCAGAAGAAATTCTAAATATATACTAATCAATTAAAAATGCTTTCCTTTAAGTTTTATAATGGTCGGCTTACTGAGCAGTGCTTGATAGAATCCTAAGTGTCAATTGTCGCACATCACATAAAACAGGAGGCATTTGATATTCAGAGTTCCAAGAATGCTATCAAAATAACAAAGTACTTAAACATGTGGTCGTGATCGTATAGTGGGTAGTACTCCAGGTTGTGGCCGCAGCAACCCCCGTTTGGAATGTGGGTCACGGCAGGGTCCTTTGTTGTGGCTTTAACTTCCTTTGTCTCTATTAATCTTTAGAAATGGATGTTGTGGCTCACAGGGCTAGTGGCGCAACGGATAACGCGTCTGACTACGGATCAGAAGATTCTAGGTTCAAATCCTGGCTAGCTCGTATGTTTTGGCAAGGAAATCACTTCAACAATACGTCCCTCCAGCATCGTCATGATTAGTCACCAACTGCATTAATAACTCTGAACTCTATAATGTCAAGCATTCACAGCTTTCTTGGAGTCTAGGACTTGTTAGTGTTACTTGCTGATCTTCTGTAGTTCAAAAACTAAATTGGGCTCTGAAGGACAAAGTAAGTATTTTTAGTCACAATATTCAAAATCCCAACTCTGCTATAAGATCAATGAAGTGTGCGGTGAACCAAGTGGCCGTTTAGTATAGTGGTTAATACAAAAGGTTGTCCCACAATAGTTTCACAGATATTGAATGAGCAACTGAAAATCATTTAATACAGGGGGTATAGCTCAGTGGTAGAGCATTTGACTGCAGATCAAGAGGTCCCTAGTTCAAATCTGGGTGCCCCCTACATAGTTTTTACCCGTGTGTAATGTTATATGTATACAAGCAATGAGGTGCTGATCAATTACAAATCACTCAATGAACAGAGGAGCTTATCATATAGTTAACCGTACTGTCTGTGTTGCCGCAACAACCCTATTTCGAAAGCCAGCCTTAATGTTGTTGCTTTACCTTCACTTATTTTTGCAATTTGTCAGTGTAACTTATTATATCACATAAGAAAAGTTGATTAAATGAGAGTAAATATGACATTCAGTCTTCCACTAATCTCTCATAACACAGAACTCAGACAAATATCTTGCCATGCTGTTGACACAGATACCACAGCAAATACACAGGGCTAGTGGCGCAACGGATAACGCGTCTGACTACGGATCAGAAGATTCTAGGTTCAAATCCTGGCTAGCTCGGTTCCCTTTAGCCAGGAAATCACTTCAACAGTACATCTCACCAACATATAAATGAAAAGTCAATGAACATCTGGTACTATGCGTTAATGGGCTTTCACCAACTGCATAAACAACCCTGAACCCTATAATGTCAAGCATTCCCAGCATTCATGGAAGCTTCTAGGACTTTTTAGAATGACTTGCTAATCATCTGTTTTTTCAAAAACGTGGATTGGTCCAAATGGACCAATCCGCGGTTTTCCTCACACACACACACACTCGATCTTTTCTCAGCTGCAGCTCCGCCGATTTCTCCTCCCTGAGACGACGGGACGCGGCGAGGCTGTGAGTCGGTGTGTGAGCACACACACAAACTCCCAGCCAGGCTGTGTGTGTGTGTGTGTGTGTGTGTGTGTGTGTGTGTGTGTGTGTGTGTGTGTGTGTCTGTGTGTGTGTTCGGGCTGGTTTTGGGCTGGGTTTCGCTGTGTCTCGCAGACGGCCACTGGGCTCATAGGGAGGGGGGGGCAGGAGCTCCAACAAGCCGTTTAGGACAGAGAGTGAATACACATACTATACAGAGATGCTGTATGAGAAACCAATGTGATTTTGGAAAATTGCACAATATAAATCTATTCTAGTATACCTCAACAATGGAATTATGATCAGTAGAAATGGCCAAGACATGGGACCTTTAATGCTGGGCTTTCACCAACTGCATAAATACCTCCGTTTCAGTATAGTGGTTAGTACTCAGCGTTGTGGCCACACAGATAAACATGTTTTTCCCCTGGAGTCATTTCCCAGAGAATGTCTAATCAACTGATAGTAGATTACGAGAGGGGGTATAGCTCAGTGGTAGAGCATTTTACTGCAGATCAAGAGGTCCCCAGTTCAAATCTGGGTGCTGCCTATTTAACTTTACTTGTTTTCAAATGATGTGTTAGGTTTTCAGGTCAGGCTATGAGATCCAATAACAAAGATGTCAAGTGGCTTTTACCGGAGTGTCTTTAGTACTTGGAATCCCTGTTCAAATCCAGATCACAGCAGCAGTTATAGGTGTTTAACCCACTTGTTACATTACATGCTTCATAATTTTATATTTTTCTCTTTTTTTATTTTTGAAAATAGAAAATGACAAAAAGGTGTGTGTGTTTGTACCTGCAACATAGCCATGCTGTCATCGGTCTTGCCTCTCTTTGCTTTCAGTTCTGCACCTTCCACCATCAAAAGGGCTTGAATATCAATGTCTCCCCACAGTGCACATTCATCAAGACCCTCCTGTAACAGCCGAGACGCCTCCTCATTGATGTTTTTACCTTGAAAAAAACAATACCGACAACATGTTAATATGCATAACCACACAGATTCCTCTTACTAACTCCAGCTATTGAAGTACAGTTTTATACACATAAGTTACCCAAATTGAAGTAGTTGATAATACTATGCATTACAATTTTTGAATGCTCAAATCTTCATATACCAATACCCTACCAAAAGTGAAACTGTTAGAAGTGAGGTAAAAATGTCCCCCAATGATTTTTTTATTACATAAAAGGGAAGATCACTTTTCAGTTTGACATAAGTAATCTATGCAATGTTAACCCAAGCCTGCAATACATGACTCACCAAAAGAAAGTACAGAGCAACACATGAACAGACCTGGCAACGGGGCAGCAGTGCCAGGGATGTGTGACGTGAGGCTGCGGACCAGAGCCAGGCGGCAGCGCAGCCACAGAGGGGGTCCAACTCTCTCACTGGCCCCCACTGCTGTAGGGGAGTCTGCATGCTGTGTGTGTGAAACACTGCAATCCTGAGTAGCCTGTGTAGACGGACAGTATATTACACACATACAGTATGAGCACATATACAGACACCAAGTAAAATCAATCACCATTGAAGTGACCCAGTTTGGCTGTGTGCATACTTTACATGCAAATAAGGAAACATTACATTATCACTTTGTAGCTGCTAACAAATTCTAGAGGTAGCATTCATTCACATTCATGGTTTCATTGCTTCTTTTGGTTGTAATGTTGTCATTCTCTGTAATGTTTACGGGACGCACCTATATAAGGATATCATATGTTGCGTTTTGTGAAATGATTTGATTCTGCAACTCATTTTTATAAACACAATACCCGTTCACTCCCAGTCCTGGTGTGCAGTCTGTCAGACGCAGGTTTCTGAGAGCCAGGTTCGATTCCTTTCAGGATTACAGGAGACGTCAGCAGCAGCATAAAGGAGGAAATTGCCACCTCAGAACTGGAAGAGTACATTAAAATGGTTAGGATAGTCAGGAAATACTGCTCCTTTGTTGTGGCTTCCACTTACTTTAGTTTTACCTAACTTTACTTCTGAAGCAGATTCTTTAATACATTTTACAAGGCTAGTTGAGCAACGGATGATGCGTCTGACTACGGACCAGAAGATTCTAGATTCAGATCTTCCTTAAGCCAGGAAATACACACATACGCATGTGAGCACACACAGCACACAACATACCTATCTGCAGCATTGCCTTGCTGCAGGTACAGGCTGGCCTTCAGAAGTTTGGACTCTATCGTCAGCTCCAGGATCTCCATTTCGCTACAGGACAGAGAGCTCAGTTGCTGCGAGATGGAGTGCAACCAGGAAGATGCTACTTCTAGCAAAAGGAACTACAACAGAGAAGAATACAAATATGAGTGAGTTCACACAAAAAAGCTAAAAAAAATAGCTCCATATTTAGGGTAAGGTGCCAAGAATAAAACAACTCAAAGTTGAAATAACATTAGGTGACAAAAACCTGAAGTCTTACCTTCATCGTTTCTGGAGTTAGCTTTTCCTTTTTGGAATGAAAGGTCAACACTTTTGGCTCTTCTGTCTTCAGACTGGAGTCCTCAGTGTCCACTGTGGGATATAACAAAAAGTGTTTCTGAAGTGAATTACCTACCCCACCTATAAGTTGAAATGAAACTAACTGATTTCAATGCAATCCAGTGTGACATTTGACATGATCCCAATAATAATTTCAAAATAAATAAGAGACAGGAGAAAGTAGTCGTGCTCGCAGACCTGGAGCAGGAGGGCCAAGCAAGGTGTCACTGAGTGCCAGGACTAGTTGAGTGCGAGCAAGTTTGAATCTGAGGCACAATGTGGATCCATACAGCGTGCTGATCTCTGGAGTAAATTCACAGTTTATGAATTCCTCCAAAGCCTAACCCAAAAACAAAAAGCAAACAAATTTGGTAATTTCTCGAATATATTTTTGAGAAAGGAACAGAGTGACAGGTTGATATACATATGCTTACAACTGCTAGATGTAACATTGTATGTGTCTATACGAGTGTGTGGCGCAGTGGATAGAGCCTTAGAGTTGGGATCAGGGGGTCACAGGTTCAAACCCCACTGCAGTCAGCATGTCGTTGTGTCCCTGGGCAAGACACTTCACCCCAAATTGCTCCTGTGGGGATTGCCCACAGTACTGAGTATGTAAGTCGCTTCGGATAAAACAGTCTAACAGGTAATATGCAATGTGTTTGGCTTATTTGGCCCGCTGTTTTCTAATATGTCAGGATGCGATGTTATATTATATAAAGAGAGGAATTTGCACCTGGACCATGCAAACTGTGACAATTCATTTAAATCATGATTTATGATACCATTCTTCCAGCCTTAACAACGTAAGTCTTATTTTAAATTCTAAATACTTCCAAAAACGATAGAAATCCCACGTAAAAAGTACCTCAGAATTGTTCAGGAGAGACTTGTTGCTGTAGAACGTCTTCACAAGCTGTAAAATGAGCACAATTTCAAATTTCTATAAAACAATGGTACATATAAAATACATAACGATGCTTACAATAATTAGACATATTTTTGGAAGATTGGAACATTGTAAGTAAAAGTATACATAAAATATGATACAGAGATGCTACACTAACAAAATAAAACAGAGAAAAGGCACAGAGGCAGAGTGTGTGTTTTTACTTGGAGATTGTCTTTGGTTATAAAGTGTGCATGAGGCAGAAGGATCCCGGTTCCTTGTGTGATCTGAGCTGCCTCTTTTACAGCTTCAGTGAACAGACACAGTTGAGTTAGGGCACGCATCTGCAGAAACACAAACCCAGACTGAGAACTCTATCACAACCATTACAAGAACACATTATAAATAAACATCAATATGTAAGTAGAGAGGACAACAATAATGCTGACCTTTAGTATTTTGCCCTCAATAGTGCGCTGGACATCTCTGCACACAGACCCAACCAAATGAAGGTAAAGGGCTAGTATGGGCAGAAGCTGAAATTAGAAACCAAATTGAAGTCACTGTTTTGAGAACAGCAGTTCTAAATGAGGATAGACAGTCAGTGTTTGTTTGTGTACCGTGATGTAGTGGCCTGTGGTGTAGAGCCAGTGGCAGAGGAAGTTGAGGCTGGTTACAGTGGAGCCGAGGGGAACCCTGTGAGGCTCAGAGAAAAGGTCCGCTCCAGGGAGCAGTTCCTCTCCAATGCTGTGAAAAGCGTACTGGAGGTCGGCCTGGGGCTGAGCCAGGGAGCAACACAGTACACACTAGGGAGGTAGATCACACATGTACACACATCCTTTACTCAAGTAGAAGTACAGATACTCGTGTTTAAAAATACTCTGGTAAAAGTAGAAGTACTGACTAAACTTCTTTACTCAAGTAAAAGTAAAGAAGTATTGGCTTCGAAATGTACTTAAGTAAAAAGTACCCATAACTACCAGCTGTTTTAAAGAGTAACTGACCTCACTTTATATTAATAGAATATTAAGGATCTTCTATTCGAATATTTCTAAGAATGTCCACTTTTTCTAATTTTTCTTAGAATTTCAACTTTTTCGACTTTCAGAATTTTTTAAAAGTCGATTTTTTCTAAGAATCTCCACTTTTTCAAAATGTTCTCAGAATTTCAACCTTTTTCAATTTTTCTTAGAATTTCGACCTTTTTCGAATTTTTCTTAGAATTTTGACTTTTTCGAATATTTCTTAGAATTTCGACTTTTTCGAATATTTCTCAGAATTTCAACTTTTTGGAATTCTTCTTAGATTTTCAACCTTTTAGAATATTTCTCAGAATTTCAACCTTTTTCAAAAAAAAATTGAATTTCAATCTTTTTCGATTTTTTCTTAAAATTTCAACTTTTTCGAATATTTCTCAGAATTTCAACTTTTTCGAATATTTCTCAGAATTTCAATCTTTTCGATTTTTTTCTCAGAATTTCAACTTTTTAGAATTTTTCTTAGAATTTCGACCTTTTAGAATATTTCAAATTTCGACTTTTTAGAGAGATAATCAACCTTAGAAATAAGATACAACTTTATTTATCCCGAAGGAAATTCCTGTGCCAGGGTTACAAAAGATTCACTCCAACAAAAATTATAATAACAATAATAATACAAATGTACACTAACAGTGCAGTTATAGAGTAAATTAAACAAGAAACAAAGATGGACAAATAATGACTGTAAGAAACAGAGAGTACGGTACATCCTCTGGAATTATTACCTTAAAGAGGTGTGCAGACATGAGACAGCAATTCGTACGCTGGCTGATATCAGCAGCACTTAAGATGTACCTGTAGATCAAAACACATTGCTCAGAAGATGGAATATGTTACAGATATATTCTTGCAACACACAAACACATTCAACCAATGATGACACTTATGAGACATACTGTGCAATCTTAGCAGTTAGCACAGCAGCCTGTAGACATCCCCAAATGCCAGCCTGGTTCAGGGTTTGCTGCAGGGAGCCACCCTGAACTGACACGCCATCCCATTTCTCTACAGCACCAGAGCTCTGTAAGGCACAGTCTACAGCTTTACTCCAGTATGCGTGTGCTGCCCTGGAGATAAAACACAGGCAGGGGGGAAATTATCACGAGAATGAAAGGACTATCGTGAAACGTACATACTTTGGTAAAAGCATACAATACACAACCCAGCTGTTACCGTGTGTTTCCATTGTAGAACTGTAGGTTTCCCATTTCATGCAGCGCCAGAACTCTGAGGGATTCATGATTGTTGGCCTGGAGATACTCTGGAGAGAAGTTGGATAGAGATGGGGATGAAGGTTAGACTTGTAGGACCCTGACACACTGAAAAAATTAAACATTGACTCTAATTAAATGTATTGTATCAACAGGTTCCACATAATTGTATTAGGTTAGTTTAAAGCAATTATATTAAGTTGAACCTAATACATTTAATTAAAGTCAACGCTTTCGTTTTTTTTAGTGCACACTTCATATAGATAATACACAATATAATGATGTCATGCAGTCTGCTATTACTCTATTTAAGACATCTCACGATCACTATCCACCTTGTCAATACATGCCCTCTGTCTTGTAAGGTTTGCTTTAGAAGTATTTTTGCGCTCTTACTAATGGAGGCGGAGTATGCAGCACAGACTGTGGGCATGTGGTCAGGGCTGATGGGGAGGCTGTAGAGAGCATTTGGGGAACTGTAGTCCTCCTCGGTCAGATTGCAAGGTTGTATGTCTGGAGACGGCTTAGGAATGAAATCAACCAGGCTTGTAGAATGGCTGAGAGTTCTGCTCTGACACTGCTGCTGCAACTGTGCCGTAAAGCCTGGAGAGACACGAACAAAACAGTGAGGGGTTTCAAACAGTTGTTGCGTGACTATGTATTGTATGTCCAATCATTCAGCAATGAACTCACAGGGCTTTGTGTATGCAAGGAGCTGCAGCAGTAAGGAGCGACTATGCTGGAAGACCTGAAGACAGTGTGGTCTTTTCTCCAGGGCTTGACGGAAACAGCTCAGTGTGTCCTCTACATCCAGAGGGACGCACACAAGGGACATGGAGTGCTGTATCTCTGCACCTTAGACACAGAACATATATGCATTCATAATTTCCTGGTCTGTGTAAAATGTTGGTAATTTTAAATCACTCAAATGTAGAATTTAGTTATTTAGTTATTCAAGTTACTATATAAGTTAAGTTGGAAGCAATAATATTAAAGGTAGGGTAGGTAAGAATGGAGAAACCAGCTCGAGTGCGCTATAATTTGAAATTATGCAGCCGAAAAAAACCTGCCCCTTCCTTCAGACTTCCTTACAGAGCCCCTCCTCCAACACACACGAACGCGCACATGACCAATGAGGGCACGAGATAAGTTTGTTCACGAGATGGAAGGCTGACAGGCAGGTAGGCCATCCAGTTATTTTTTTTGCTTTTTACAGCACTACGGCTTCCACAGATCACATTTTTTATGTATTTATTGTCAAAGCATTTAATATATTCATTGCTATCGGGATGTTAAGAACATTCCATGGAATATAACAAAAAGTGTTTCTGAAGTGAATTACCTACCCCACCTTTAAGTTGAACCTAATATTTGAACAGGCAATATTATAACATACTACAAACAATTGTTTATATTGTTAAAGTATCTCGACATGACCTAACATGAGGCTGGCTTTAAACCTTTAAGGTCGGCTGTGTCTTGAGGACTTGAGTTAATGAGTTTTCTTTGAATTGGTGTTTGCTGAGCAGGGTGAGGGCTCCACCCTATGAGCAGCTGGGAGTCTGCGTAGCTTCTGTATGTTACCTGAAATATAGAAAAGTTAGCAACACAAATACATATGTACAGTATACACACAAGTGTGTGAAATGATGTGAAAACACATGATGTGAAAATGTTTCTAGTGGTGCTAAATGATAACGGTATCATTAGATTTCACGTATAGCAAACAAAAAAAGGAAATGCTATAAAATAATTAGGGAATTAACATTATTATGCAAGGGAATACAAAAGCCTGCAATGTTGGAACATATGTATGTGTGTGGGCTGGGCTACCTCCTTGCCAGTGGCCTTCTGGGTCTTGACATGGTGTGGTTGAGGGACTGTGGGTCCTTTTAAGGAACTTATCCTTTCCAGAAGCTTTCTCTGAGCAAGGACTATTAGAGGAGTTACGATCAAGGCATAACGTTCCCTGGGAAAGACAGATTTACAGAAATATAGCCGTCTTTAAAAAAAAAAAAGACGTTTTTGTGTGAAAATCCTCAAATTGCCTTTAATGATAATAACCTTTCGCTATATTTGAATATTTATTTACCCCCCTGTTGATTTTACTATAGAGAGGCGAAGTCCCTCCCTTTCCGGGGGACCTCCATGGGACCTTATTTTGGAAAAAGTATGTATTGAAGTCAATGGCGAGAGAAAGATTATCTTTCGATTCGGTTTGAATTGCGCCACGAATTACACATGATGTTTGTCAATTTAAAAGATAATTTTGCAAGTCAAAAAAATTAAAATGTGTCGTAAAACTGTGAAGTAACACCTTTTTTGTGTGAAACCGCTCAATGAACTACAACTCCCGTCTCGCACCACACACCAAGATGGCCGTCACGTTGGCACATTTCACTTCTTTCTTTCAGAATGAGGCGAAAAGTATTAAAAGAGGTGAAAATCACTACAAGTCTGGGCATGTTGAGAGCTGTACATACACAAAAGGGGGAGCTAGTCGGTTCCTTAAGAGCCAGCATGCTGGACCGGGATTATGGGATTTGTAGTCTTTCTAGTTGCGTATTTTTCATAGTCTTATATTTCAACAGTTTTACGACAAACTGTGACTTTTTTTACATGGAAATTATTTGAAAAAACATCATATGTGTAATTCGTGGCACAATTCAAACGGGATCGAAAGATACGTTTTCTCTCCCCATTGACTTCAATACATCATTTTTCCGAAATAAGGTCCCATGGGTCGGAAGTAGATGGGCGGGACTTCGCCTCTCTATACAAAATACTTATTGAATCTTAGCTTCACTTTTAGATTCATCATTGTAATATGGACTTTTCTTTGGAGGAAAGAATTGTCTTACTCACCGCGTGTAATTGTTAAAAACTAAGGCAAAGTGGGCCAGGCTTTCCCATTGGCCACTGTCATGGAGACGCTCCAGAGTGTGCAGCACCAGGGTGCGAACCCAACGCAGGTCCGCCTGAGTTCTGTTATCCAGCGGGGCTGAGAAGTGGAGACTGGACTCTAGTTCATCCTCAGTCAAGTCCCTGTCATACGCACTCCACAGCTAGTAGGGATGAAGATCAAGATGAAAGTCGTGTTCACTTTGTAGCTGTTTTTGTGCTTTTGCTCAGATGAGAAGATGCACACTGTAGTGATAATAGTGACCATCAGTACCAGACTTCCAACATGTTCCTAAACATTACATTCAAAGAAATTCCAAGCACAAAATTCAAAGCCTTGTTCCATGCCCATAAATGAACATTAGATATATAGCTGTTTGTGACCCTTACCCCAAGTCTGTTCAGCATGTCCATGATAAGGTCAGTAGCCAGCAGCAGCAGTGGGGTGAAGGTGGTGTTCAGCTGGTCCTGGAGGGGGGAAGGTAGGTCAAGCTGAGCAGCACTATGCACTAGGAAAGTGATACGGCAGCTTTGATCCCACAGAGTCTGACACACACACTGCAGAGTAGTCCAGTGGCTGCCACGATGGGCCAACACCTGGAAATATTAAAGATAGACACATTAAACACAATACCTGGATTATATACTTGTGTTTGAGAGAATTTCCATGTATGTATGTGCAGTACCATGGCCCTTCGTAGATGTAAAGCAGCTTTGTTAAGTGAATCCAGCACCAAGGCAGCGGTGCGTCTCTGTGTCTGCATCAGCTTTTCCACAGTTTGAGAGGAGTCCTCTCCCTCCTTACAACTCTCCTCTGAAACAGAGTCAGCTCCTCTGACTGCTGGAGAGAAAACATTAGGATACGTGCTGAAACACAAACCAGTTGATAGCTTTCCTTCTTATCTTTCAAAGAGTGTCACTCACCCTCCTTTTTATTTCTCTCTTTGTGTGCAGCCACATATTCCTTGTGAGAGGAGTGAGAGGATTCTCTCTCTATGAGACTCTCATGATGAGAAGACTGTTGTCGCTGCGAGTTTCTCCACACCAGGAAACCAGAGTAAGCGAGAGAGAAACACAAGGGATCAAACTGCCCGTAGCTGAAACAAGAGGCATGCAGAACATAATCTTAACGGGATTAAAGGCAATTAGGTTTGCAAACATTAAACATGGCAATAGGATAGAAAAGGTTATGTAGCTGAAATCAGGTGAGCGGACCTGTTCTGCAGGGCTCCTCCATGCAGCGTGTCCAGGCCCTGGTAAAGCAGAGCTAAATGTGCCTGAGCCATGATGTGGTTGAGGTGAGACTTCCACACTCTCTCCTCACAGCACATGTTCCTCAGCTGAAACTGCTTCTTCTGGCGTTGCACCGCAGACGACATCATGGCTAGCAGGTTCTCCACAGCCTGCATATCCCTACAAACACACGGATAGACTTCTAATTCAAGCGGCTATGTGAAACCATACCTGATAAAAAATCAAACAAACACAGACAGATGTTACCTGTTAGTTTTCACTCTCTGAAGCATGCTCTGTGGCATTGTCTGCTTCAGTTTCTTTCGTGCATCATTGTGTGAAGGTGTGTTCTTGTTCTGCTACAGCAATTGGGGTTAAGGTTAAGATACATACATTTAAGACTAAGATTTTGAATTATGGCACATAACATTAAATGCAGTGTGTTTCTACAGTCTTGCCAACTATTTTCCAATGAAAGTAGCTCTATCTAAATCCGAAAGTCACTTAGAATATAACGTGGCATTAGTCTTTTTATTGCAAAGATGTTCAGAATATTGTATGTCCTTGTGTATCTACTTGTATGTGTTGGGTATTTGTGTGCACATCATTTTCACCTGTGATGGTTCATTTGCTTTCGGAGCCTGAGCAGTATTTCCTCTTCGGCTCGGACTGTTTCCCTCCAAACATTTTGAGGACAGTCCCATCACCCCCTCACGCCTGACAAAGAGAGAAACAATCATGAGGCTTTAACAGAAAAGGAAAAAACAGCTACCAGTAAAAAAGTGCAGGGTGGTCCATACAGAAATGGACAGAAATGCATTGTTTGGTGTTTTAAATATAACCGTGTTAATTTGGTTATGAAATGAAACGATGATAATGAATTTAGGTATGCTCCGATCGCCAGTTTTGGGGCCGATCGCCGATTGCCGGAATCAGTATCGGCCGATACCGATCGCCGATCCGATCGAGTGGGCGAGGCCTACGGGGATCTTCCATAAAGTGATGTTTAAAACTCAGTTAATGGGGCTCATTCACTGGCGCTTCCACAAACAACAACCAACATAATTATTACATTCAAATGAAGTACATTATTCAAGTTTACATTCACTTTGGATAATAACACGGGAGAAATGAGCGGAAGCGCTCTCTTTTCCTCTCTCCCTCTCCTGACAGCCGATCGATCGCAGCATCCCTAAATGAACTTAAAGCTGAAATCTTTAACATACCCTTTTGTCACAACAGAGAGGTAAATCGTAAAAGCACACCTGTTAAGATATTGAAACATGGTTTGACCCCACTTCAGAACAAGGTCTGGTTGGCCTTCTTCCATGGTTCTCTGGAGAAGAAGTGCTGCAAACTCAATAAAATACACCTTGCGTCTGAGCTTCATCACTATAGACACACACACACACACACACACACACACACACACACACACACACACACACACACACACACACACACACACACACACACACACACACACACACACACACACACACACACACACACCCACACACACACACACACACACACACACACAATGTGTGCCTTGGCAGTCTCAGACTAAATATTCATTACAAAATGATCTGAGTATGTGAAACTTACCGTCCAGATAAGCTTCCTTTAAGGGGCTGTTAGAGATCAGATCATACAATATGGTGGGATCCTCACAACCAGTCAGTGGGCGTGCAATGTCTGCAGAAAATGTACAATGTATAGCTTAAGAGAAACTGTAATATCTTCTATTATGCTTCACAAAGTTATGTAATTGGTAGCAGAACTATTAGAAAATTGACAAATTGCCAACGTTAGCTTTTTTTAAATAGGGTTAGAAAACGTTTATTTTCCTAACTGTATCAAAGCTGTTATTACTTGTTGAATAGCAGGCCCTGGCAACATACCACATTTTTTTCACAATACACCCTTTTTTTTTAAAATGAATGATATTTGTATCTGTGTGTGTGTTACCATTGTGTTCTGTGAGAGCTGCTTCAGATGGGCATTCTTTCTTGTTTTTCTGATACAGAGCCTTCAGTTGAAGACCTATCTTCATTTCAGCCTTGATTGCAGCATGATCTGCCTTTTTCTACACACACAAACCACTTCCTTTATGAAAAGGTATAACCGTTTATCAGCAAAACACATTATTTTTTTAAGAATATGCACATATATAGGGTAATCATTTTAATTATTTGAATGATGTTAAGTCATTTTAAGAGTTAGGCTGGATTATGTGTCAGTCCCAATTTGTTTATATCCTTACACCCACAGCTTTATTGGTAAGTCCACTGATCTGCAGCTGGGCTTCGTAGACCTCTTGGAGCAGCCTGCGACCACAGTCCATCACCACAGAAGCCATGTGATGCTCTCTGAGCACACGTAATGCCTGGCCAGGGAGGAATAGACATTATTTTGTGCAAGGCGCCTGGTTAGTTAACATTTGGGATATCAAGGTGTCAAGGTGGATGAGTGTGACTACTAAAATAAAAATAGTGAAGTATCTTTACACTACAATCATGGCAAAAAACGCCTCAACACATCTTGAGTTAACTTTAAGTGTGTAGGTATATTTATGTTAAAGGTTCAGCATGCAGAACATTTTATTGTGTAAACACACATAAAGAGATAATGTTAAAACTTGCAGACACACCTTGGACAGGTAGTAGGTGATGCACGCTATCATGTGCATAAATGACTCTGATGTGTTTCCAGTCCCTTTTTGTTTAAAGAGTCCTGAATTCTCCTCCAGAACTATCAAGCATTTTTTCAACACCTGCACATCAAAGCACAGACACATGCTTTTACACACATTCTTATTAACTTTGTACAGTTTGTATTATGTTACAGATTATAGACTTCTATGGACGAGGTATTGCAGACCTGAACTACTTGGTCGCAAGTGATCTGATGGAAGATCATTGGTGCTAACAGGCCGTAACAGCTGACTGCAGCTTGCACGGCAAAGCAGCCGTCGTTCAACCACATGGCCAGGTCCATGGCCACCAGCATCCGCTCGCACTCTGCCAGTCGGGCTTCCTGCATACACACACATCATTTATTTATATCCAGGTTCATTCAGAACCTGTCACATCAATACAAGCGAAAAAACAACATATGCTTTCACATTGTGATATTGCTAACAATGATTACTTTCATACTAATTGTTGTCTCCTTGTTTAATTCAATTTGGAAAATAAATACACACTATATTGTACTTGCATACATCTCTTTCCAGATTAATTTCTTTTACCTGTTCCCAGATAAACGTTCCACTGTCACTAAATGAGTCACAATTTAGCGATCCCTGCTGAATGTTTATCTCCGTCTCAATGAAGATGGAAGTGAGGAACAGCCGACACAGGTGAGGAGAGGACAGTAGCAGGGTCTGGACACGCAGCCTTCAGTATGGTGAATGGAGAAAGAGCGAAAGGAGATTAACAAATGTAACAGCGTACTTTGGCTTGAGCTGTGGGTACATGTGTCCTTTCTCACCCTGTCATGGCAAGTCTTTCCTGTGTGCTGTGGGCTCCAGGGTCGGGGTCTGTATAGTGGATCCACAGTTCTCTGCAGGCTCTCTTTGCAACATCATACTGATTAGTTTGAAATGCAACCTGAGGAAGGAGTAAAATAATCCATAATCCTGCTTGTTCTCTGGCTCTGTGGGAAACAGTGTTAGGGTATCCATCACTTTGGCATGGGCTGAAATCCTAACAATGATCAGCAACTGTGTGATGATTACATTACATTGCATTTAGCTGATAATAAGACAATAAGTGCATTCGACCAAGAAGATACAAACTTGAAGAAAACAGAATCATATAAGTACATCAGGTTTCATAGAGCCAAAACATTTCAAGTGCTACTCAACTGGCTTTAGATAAGCCAGCCCTTTATTAGTATATAAGTGCTTTGTTAGCAGTTCTTTGTTAATAATTCTATCGCTAGAAGTGGAGTCGAAAGAGATGAGTTTTCAGTCTCCCCCGGAAGATGTGCAAGCTTTCTGCTGTCCTGATGTCAATGGGGAGCTCATTCCACCATTTTGGAGCCAGGATAGCAAACCCATGTGTTTTTGCTGATGGGAACTTGGGTCCCCCTCGCAGTGCGGGTGCAGCGAGCCGTTTTGCTGATGCAGAGCGGAGTGCACGTGCTGGTGTGTACGGTTTAACCATGTCCTGGATGTAGGAAGGGCCAGATCCATTCACAGCATGGTACGCAAGTACCAGTGTCTTGAAGTGGATTCTAGCAGTTAGTGGAAGCCAGTGAAGGGAGCGGAGGAGCGGCGTGGTGTGGGAGTGTTTTGGAAGGTTGAAGACCAGACGAGCCGCTGCATTCTGTCTTTATTTTGTAGGGCTTTAAGTGTGTTTTAAATGTGTTTTGTGTTTTGTCATTACACGTCGCTTGTGAAAGAGCTCTCCAGTGCCTCTGTGTTGCTTGGCAGAAACCTTTACAGGTCTTCTTCCTCAGACTCAGGGCTAGTGTAGTCATTGTCATCCGACTCCTCAATGTCCTGGTGTAATTGAAGATCATGGCATTCCAAAGCGGCTACAGCGCTGTACGCATGTACAGCCTGTTTGTGTTGGCTTTTGAGGAAGTGCCACCTCCGACTGAGGACACTCTTGAGCCCATGTGCAGCATCCTCTGTCAGGTCACCGAAATCTGTAGAGGAATAATCACACAGCAAAAGGGCTCAATAGTAAACAAACCATGACAATTGCAAATCTCTTTGCATTGTACAATGCTGCATATAGTCTCAAATCCTCGTGAAAGATCGCCATTCTATTTTCTACGAACACTTATGCCCGGGACAAGTAATGACATTCAATCTGTGTGTTATATTCAACCGATATACACTTTGACTCTGACAGTGACTAACAAGAGAAAGAGGGTTTAACAAAAAAACGGTTGAAAATCTCTCTCAGATGCGGGGCTCCCACATGACTTCCTGACTCCCAACCTCTAACTCCCTTGTAGTGGAGTGAGAAAACGCGTCCCTTCGTTCCTAAGACATAGCAGCGTACGCAACAACAGTTGCATAATAACTTTAATGGAAAGTTTTTGTGTTTTTTAAGACCGGGTACGTGTCAAAACAAAGGCAAAGTGAAACGTCTGCTCGTTGGTGCCGTACGTTTCCTTCCCTTCTTGTAACTCTCTCGACTTCTTCTTCAAGCTGTTTTTCAACACGTTCGTTGAGCCTCACGTCCTCTGTCTAAGCCTGCTCCTCAACCGGAACCGTCAGAAATGTCTCCCGATGTCGAATGGTACCCTCTCCGTACGGTTCTACCATCCTAATTAACGATCAAACACGAACAACAACAAAAATCCCAGCACTATGGCTTTTAACTTTCTTGGTTACCGAAGCGATGTTTGCTAACACAGAAGTCCTTTACTTTTAGTCAAGACATGTATTATGACTATATACTTATTTATAAGGAACAGTCGATCGGTAAGGAAGGAGAGGCATTTCCGTGGGAAGTCCACTCCTCCAGAACAAGAAACTGGTCCATTACGACCAGTACTCGCAAACCTCCTGACTCGTCTAAGTCAGGACACCCTTTCTGCGGACAGCGCGTCGTAAGTACAAGGAAGACTTCCCCTTCACGTCCTTCACCTTCGTGAGGTCTCCTGTCTGAAAAACCTCCCGTGAGTTGTGGGTCGCATACAAGCTCGTAGAATTGGGTAAACTTATAAAAATTAGGTGAGAGAAGTTGTGGGCGTAATGGTCCGAATGTATTCAGCTGTGTTAGACAGTGGCACAGTCGGCTTCACTTATCATAGATGCTTTGATAAATGTATTAAGTTCAGTATTAGCTAATAAAGCACAGATACTGATAAACAATCGTCGAAGTGTTGTAATACGTTGTAAAGGGTGGAAACCGGTGGCTGCGCATATACATTGTAGAAAGTCAAAGATTGATAAAACAATCA